AGGAAGAATGACCCGAGAAAATTTAGCGCTGGTTTACTGGAGAAGGTGCCTAAACATAACAATATTGTGTCAAATGTTACTTCCTTTGTTCCACTGGTGCAACAACAAAAGCAAATGGCTGCTGCTGTTACAGGTAATTTTTCTAGCTTTGGCGGATTTATGGTTATTACTCACATTGCCTTCAGAATTTCGAGTTTCGATCCGGTCATGACATAGCATTATGCTAAAATACTTGCAGGAAAGAGGGATATCAAAGTGAAGTCCTTGGAAGCAGCAGAGGCTGCTAAACGACTTGCTGAGAAGAAAGAGAATGATAAAAGGTTGAAGAAGGAAGCTTTGAAACTTGAGCGGCGGGCAAGGATTGAAGAGCAGAACTTGAGGCAGCTAGAGTTGGAGAAAGAAAGGAAAGAAGAAGAACAGAAAAAGGAGGCTGAGATGGCTGCCAAGAAACGGCAGAGAGAAGAAGAACAGAAGAAGGAGAGAGAAAGGAAAAGGAAGCGGATTGAAGATAAAAGAAAGCAGAACATGGAACAGAGAGACACAATGAATTATGGTAATAAAGAAGAAACCAAGTGTGGAAGAGAAGCTGCGGTATATGATTCCTATCACTACACAATAGGTAATTAATTTCTCTATTTCACTCAGTTCAGGCTTAAAAGTTTCAGTTTCATTTTCTAGGATGTCATGGCAAGTAAACTGACGGAGATTGTCGAAGAAGAAAGGATGGTCAAGGCAACTGGGACAACGAATCCCAATGGTTATGCAGCTTATGATACAAGGAATATGAATTCTGTTGATAATTCGAAGGTAAGGGATTTAATTCGAATAGCTTTCATTGTTGCTGCATTTTAGTATGTTATTTGACTGAGGTCTGGTGCTCTCTTGCTTTTTATTATTATATTATACTGCAGGATGTTATGGAAAACCAAATATGTGAGGGAAAAGAGAACAACTACAGTCTGGAATCCGACATTGTACCAGAAAGATCATACGAGATTTCACCATACAAAGGTTCCGATGATGAAGATGAAGAAGCTGAGGATGATGATGATGATGAGCCCAATGCTAAATTTATTCCTTCTTGGTCCAGGTTGGTTTACTTTAGTCTTGTCATTTCAATATCATTGTAGAACTACTCGTACACAATTGTGAAATGCTCAAGTGGTTCAACAATCTTTTGACTATTTAAGGTCGATGAAATCATAGTTACGTGTTAAATGACTAACTGTCCCCACGGACTTGGAATTTTATGGAAAAGTAAACGATAGACTTGGTTGGACGTACAGAAAAGCTAAAGGAAGATGGGTCAAGAACGATAATTTAAACTAAACTTCTGAAGGTAGATATTAAAAGTTGATTGAGTGGGTTGATTATTTGTATCAACTGGTGCCAATTAACAAATGGTAGGGTACAAATTTGTGATTGTATATCATGTGCCGTGTAAAAGAAGCATGGGGACTGATATTTCATATGCGGTTCTTCTGCAGAAGAAGGGGCATAACATTTACTATCTTGTCTCAACAAGCAAAGCTAGATCCGGCAACTGTTTTCCCACTTGAAAGCTTTGTCAGTAAAGACCAAGGTAACCTCTTCAATTTCCCTCTCCTTTACGGTTTCAATGCATGCTTTAACCTAAAACCAGTCTTTTCTCCTCTCTCTTCTCCATTGCTTGACAGCTAAAAACGTAACACAAGGCTGTTTATATTTCCCCTGTAGTTATATTGCCCAGAAAGCTCCGGCACCTATAGGTCACGACGACAACGACATAAGGTCCAAGTTCAGGTAGATGCGACGCCAAGGAGCCAGAGACTATTCTACGAGGTCTTTTTGTACATCAAACTCCCTTTGTTATTTATTTCACCAGAGCTAGGTAGATGCGATGATATATATTAAGAAAAGTAGTAACTCTCTGCCTTAGAGAGAGGTGAACAAGGGACAAGGGTTGGCTGCCTAATCTACTTTACTTTTGGAGATTGTCGATGTGCGCTGCTAGGTTAATTGGCTACCAGCCAACTTTCTTGTTGTTGATGCCTAAACAGCAGGAAGATGATTGTAGGTTCTTTTATTATGGCGATTACCAGTTCAACTCGGGAAGCCATTGCTTTCTTCTATCTTGTCACCGCCTCATCAAAAAGTAATGAGTTATGGGAAATCTGATTTGGTTGTTGAATGGTGTAAGTGTCTTCTAACCAGGAAATTTTGGTGTTTGATTTTGGTGTTTGATATTAATGCTTTGCTCCTTTATTTTTTTGACAACGATTCTAAACATGATTTAGACCTCTCCGAACAATATTCTAAAGAGTGTGTTTGATGTTATTGATGGCTTTTGGGACAAACTAAGTTAAATTATCATATTCCTATCGATGTTCAGTGAGAGCTCCAAAAACTAAAAACTATAACTATAGCTACATTGTAGAGAAAAATATAAAGTTTGATATATGTTGTCAAATGTTTGGTTGTGCTGGTGCACCTTCTTTTACAATCTTCGTTTCTCATATTTAAAATAGCTGACCCAACGTAATTGCCTTGTTAAGCACATTGATTATATGAACAAAACCCCCCCTCCATATCGGCCTAGTACCATTCTCATCTTTCCCCACCAAGTTTTCACACTTAGTCTTAGTTAGTTGTCATGGCATCAATTTGTCATCTTGGTATTAAGTCTATCTTATAGGCTTAATACCCTGCCGTTTTGCCTTGTTGGTAAGCAAATCTTACCAGCTTGCATATTATTCGATTTCGCTCCAACATGGAATCCAAAACATCACATGTAATAGTTGCTTTGTAAACACAACATATTGATCTTAAACATTAAAGGTATCGAGCTATGTACCAACAACTGCTCAACTTCTTTGCATATTAACCGATTTCGCTCCAACATGGAGTCACACTATGTTTGGGAAGGAGGTATATGGGAGGTGGGAGCAAATTTGGGGGGGTAAATGCATTTTCGGGTTAATTGCATGGTTGGTCACTGAGATTACAAAAAACGTTCAAGTTTGGTCACTCGAAATATATAAATCCATTGGTGGTACTTCAGTTTATTGAAACCGTTCACGTTTGGTAACTCTCCGTCCAACTCCGTTAACTTTTGCTTACGTAGCGGTCAACTCTAAAAGTTGACTGTTAAATGTGTGACATGGCAATTGAATGATAATATTATTATTATATTTAAGACTAATGGCTTGGTTTGGATTGCTTATTGTAGTGTTTATGTTTTACTGTTTCTTTTGTAATGCAATGTGATCATGACTTTCCATCATATTATTATACATCACGGTGTTGTTGACCTACCACCGGCCATCACTGCATACATGTTACTTGGTAATATCAGTTAATAGCAAAGAGTGGGATGGGATTAGGTGCTAACCCCTATAAGGGTTAGCACCGTGATAACTAGCAAAAATCACTACGGATTATTATAAAATCAATACAACATCTAAACTAAATCACTACTAATTCAAACTAGTAGTAATTTTTCCCTTGGTTATAACAGTGCTAACTATTGTACAATTAGCACCATAACCCCTCTCGCAAAGAGTCAATTTTCGAGACAATATCTAGCTAAGAGAGTAAGAAACAGAGTGATAAGCTAGTCTTAAAATATATTAAAGCAGATTGACAATACAACCCCTCCATGCAAGCCGCCTTCAACACTTCTCCGCAATTCTCGATTATTAGAGTTTTTTTTTTTTAAATCTCTTTCAACCGTTTCCTACTTTCCTTCGCCAAGACGCCAACTGTTTTCTTTTCCTCTCACTATTTTTTCTCTCCTTGTCTGCCCAACCTCAAACTTATCCCTTTAGCTTTTTTCCCCTTTTATTTTTTGACAATGAGGAATTAAGAGAGTCTCTGAAATATTTTATTTATAATAAATATTTATCACTATTTATAATATATTAATTACTTACGGTGATACTTGCTTTAATATGTATATACAAACAAAATGTAATGGACTGTTGATCCCCTAACTAACCGAAAAGTTTCGTGTATATATATATATATTCCTATTTTGCTTTTGAGGTAAGTATTTTTTCTAATTTTTTTAGATGGACCATTTTTACCTTTTTTTAAATGTGTCATTTTGAATAAAACATAAAATTTATTTTGGTTTATTTCAACATTAATGATAAGGGTTAATTGCAAGATTGGTCAATTGTTTGTGTATACAAATCAATTGTTAGATTTTGAGGGCCAATATTGATTCAAATGTCATCTATAAGAAGGTAAAGGTGACTGCTTTAATTGACAAATACAGGCATAAATATGTAAAATGAGACTTTCTGAAGCTTCTTGAACGACATGAGTAAAAGTTAGTGAGAATTGAACCATTATGTGTGCGTATAATAAATATTGACAAAACTTTTATGACGTGTATATGATAAACTTAGACGAAAGCTGATATTCATTGATTAGAAATTCAATGTCTAACTAACAAGTGTGTATGATTTAAAGGTTTAAATAAAAGACTAAAAGCATTGATTGAATGTCGACTATTTAGTTGATAAATAAACAGTTACTTACTTACGATCTCATTATTTTATATTGAAAGACTACTAATAAGTTTTCGAAAATGAAGTGCAAAAATATAAATAACTTAAAAGACTTAAAATAACTAAAAAGAAATTGTGAATTATCTAATTGAAATAGGAGGGTTAAAAATTTCGATTATATACTTATATATTTTGGTCCAAAATAGTTCTCCAGTATTCAACTCCAAAACGACGCCGTGGAGGCATTGGAGAACCCTAACCCTAGAAGCAAGGTTGTCAAACCGGTTTGTGCCAGTGTGCCGGTTTAGCAAGTGGAATGGTTCGACCGGTGGTACATACCGGTTTGTGTCGGTTAATATTACAAATAATTTACAAATACTCATATTTAAGCACAACATTTACCGTCAATACCTAAATATTTGTACTTGAATCCAACAAATAACATCAACATTTAACTTTTTAACACATAAAATAAATAATAAATTACTTTTTATCAAATAAATTCACTAATATAAGATCATTTTACTTAGAGATTCTTACCAAAAAAAATTTTACTTAGAGATTCGCATATCGATCATGCCGGTCATACCGGTTTTATGACCGGTATAGGTTGAACCAGGTTCAACCAGTGGCACGCCAGCCGGCGTGACAACCATGCCTAGAAGACAGGAATCAAGACGGATACCATTTAAAAAGGACAGGGGAGTTCTCCCTCTGCAGTAGAACAAGCAGCAGCCGCTCCTCCATCCCAGGCTCAGTTACCCTTTCTTCCTCTCCAATCTCCGGTCTGTATAACTATTTTCCTTTCTCCAATCGAATCAAGTTTTCCCTTTTGTTCATCTCTGGTCATCAGACTCGACACCTCTTAGAGTAACCGTGTGGAAACCCCTTTTGTGGGCAGATTTCACAATCAGGTTTAGTTTGGAGGCTGAGATTTAGGGTTCTTAGCAATCCCCCTCAAAAGGGGTTTCTAATACTAAAACCCTCGAGGTCTTTTTGAGGGGTTAGCGTTAATCCAAATTGCTGGCCTACAAGCAGCCTTGGATACTTTTCTTCCCCCAATAAATTTCTACATTATCTTTTGCAATTCTTTTTAAAAAATTGATTTCCTGCAGGATTGCCTTCGAATAACCTAGCCGGTGAATTGGAAACAATAGACCACTGTTTGGTTCAGACAGAGGCAAAGAGCAAAAGGGGCTGAAAATGCCCTTCCATGAATCGATCTTTTCAGGGTTGAGGAATTTTCCATTATATGTTGGGTCCTTTCCTGGATTGATTCGTACATATGTAGTCTTGAAAGTCTGATTTCCAGCGTTTTGTGATTTTTTTTAGTGGTTTTCCCTCTTTATCCGATGACAAAATCAGAGATTAAACACACCATCTTTCGGGACTGAAATTTACTGGTGTTGACACTTTCTGCAATTCTGAGGCAAAACCAGATTACCAGCCAAAACAGAACCGAAAAATGGCGGTGTTGAAATTACAGTGTACGTTTTACATGTGGGTTTTTTTTTCAAGGATTCAAATACTGTACAAGGTTGTATCAGAAAAGTCAGTGCTAGGCTATTTTATGCCAAAATAATTGTTTAACCGTGGTTCAACTATTTCATACCGCTAAATATCGCTTACTAGTTTAGCCTTCAATAGGAGGTTCTTTCTTCCAAACACAAACACAACACCTGGAGGTGGAGCACTATAGCAGAGCAAAGAAGCATTTTGGAGGTAAGCTCTAATTATGTTGGTTGAGTGAGAATTAGAATTTTGGATTAATACATGCAGGTTCTATTTAGTATTGTTTGAACTGTATGTAATTATGCTTTTGTAAACTGCATAAATGGGTAGGAAATGCGAAAATTGACATACTGATTCAGCTGTCTAGATTGAGAGCATATTTACTTGGGAGGATTTTTGCCGCATTTGTGTGGAAAGGTGTTGTATAGGGGACGAAAAATATGCAAGATGACTTACTGTATGTTAGTTTACAACGGATATACACTTGTATATGAAGGATCAATTCTGTTTGACGATGATACATTATGTGATGTTGAGATTTATTACAACAAATTGATAGTGTATGTCGAGACAAAAGATGTTGGCCAGTATGGTGGTGGGGGTTATACGACACGATGAAGGTTTGGGTGGAGTTTATTGTTCAAGAGATTTCGGAGGTTCAGATGATAATCCATGGCCAGGATATGAGACTCGTATTGCACCTAGTTCATTGAGTGAACATGATGATCAGGAGTGACCAGTATAGGGTGAAGAATAGGATAACAAAAGGGCACCAAAACAAGCATCTACACAAGCATCTGATGTCGACAATGATCCATATGTGGATAAACCAAGTCCTCTGTACTCTAGCAAGACAAGTGACGTGGAAGAGGATGATTTGGACTCATTATTCAGGTTTCGTGGTTGGTCAAACATTTGGATGAAAGCCTCAGGTGGTTGATGCTTACCAAGGAATCGTCCACAACACCATGTTTGGTTACACATCTATTTGTGAACTTTGTACCAAATCATATACTCGTCTTGGTACCTCATTGACCTCGTCATTGAGATGCCATCAATTGCAAATGTATGACGAGCTTCCACATACAAATACATGCTTGGTGCTTGTTTGGCCAATCAGTGATTTTACCCCTGCAGATCCTCTAGGTATCGCAACTCGTACATCGCCAAAGATTCGTCCAGATACGGATCCCACTCGACCTATAAATAAATTAATGTCCATACAAATAATTTCAACAAATAAATTATTATTTTTATCCATACAAACAATTTCAACAAACAAAGTTGTGTTCATATCCATACAAATAAATTAATCTTAAAACGAATAAATCAATGTTCATAAACTAGAATGTTACCAGCTAGAGAGTATTCGGGCCAAGTGTCTCTCGTGGAAGCCCCTATCCATCTAGCACCATAAGCCAATTGCCTTAGTTGCTCTGTAGGAGTCCAAAGGTCGGCAAGGCAGATCAGAGCAAAGGTTGGAAGGTTCTCCCAAACCTAGAGTTGGAGGATCAACATGAAACCACCTCTTTGCTTTCTCTTTGGGTAAGTAGACTTGCACAGCTCTGCATATATCATTGCCAAACAAGCATATCCCTAACTTTTTCTCCAATCTCATCCCAATTTCTCAATAGTAGTCGGAGCCACATACAACGAATATTTCCACCAGATTTGTCCGGAATTAAGTAACCAAATTCGCGGAGCGGGAGCGAGCTCATTTATGAATATTTCAATTTTAAGAGCGCGACGAGAGCGTGATATTATATTATTTAAATTAATCAATTTATTCATTTTCTATAATAACTTTCTGATGGGATTTTCTATAATAACTAAGAACTTGAATCAAATAAGAAGATTTCGAGTAGTAAACACTTTGCTGATTGAAGATTGAAAATGGGCTAAGACTAAACAAGCAAAACTCTACTTTTCAAGTGAAAAAATGCAGGTGATAGACTGGTAGCTAAGAAAAATTGGATTTGTGTTATTACTTAAACATTGGAGTTTATACTATAATGAGTAACAAAGTTATAGTCAAAGTGCAAATGGGCTATTAAAACTTTATAAGACTTGCTTTTCTGTGGGCCAATTATAAAGACGGGTATTACTAAGTTTTTGGGCCAAGTCCTTGGCGCATTAGTTTCTTTGTACTTCACTTTTTAAAAACAACTTTTGAAGTCAGATAGGCCCTTTTTCGGATCAAAGTTCCATTTCCATTTTCCCATTATCGACTATGTACTCTGTTAAAACAAAAGAAAATTGAAGGCGAGTAGGAGATTGAAAGAGGGCGGAGGCGTTCACCAGTACTAGATCTGGACCGTTGCTGGGTTGCAGCTGCGGATTCTACGACGGCTCCTCTCGCCCTTTCTTTCAATTCTCGGTCATGCTTTATGACCCTGTAGTCTGTGAACAGATTAAGGGCAATCCAACTCTCCCTCTCTCACGGCATTGACCTCGACAAAGACGACCAGATTCATCATCTCCACCGCCTCTCTCTCCCCCACTTAACCTCAGGGAGGCCTCTCTCCAGATTGATTAAATTCGCGTTCTCCATCACAGGATTCACGCTCCCAATAATAATAGTTCGCGAATTCTATGCGCTTCATTCCAAATCCGCGATTTAACGCTCTAAGGTGGGAGCACGGGGGCTGAACACACGAATTAGGTTACCTAAGTTCGGAACCACCAAAAGGTAAGCATAGACTTATGTAGCACTGGTACATGATGATCTTCGCATTTAAAAGAGAAGGTATATGAGGAAATAATGTTTACCAGTTCTGCCGCCCAAACACTTTTCAGATCGATGGTGAGATTGCTCATCCAACAAATTAGTATTTCGCGAACTCGAATGAATGTATGTTCTAGGATCATAAATCTTCGGGCCCATCTCGACAATTTTGAGGGATATAAGTATCAAACTAAAGGAAAACTTTGGTGTGGAAAATCTGGTTTAGTTGCAACCATAGAGCATACTTGTTTTTCATAAAGAGTGGTAGAAGGAAGAGAGGAAGAAAAGTGTAGTGGTGTGATTCGTGGTGGAATGAAGAGGTTATTTATAGGTTTAAAGGGAGGGGGTGGTTCGAAGTGAAGCCACTTGATCCGGGGTAGATCGAGTCCCTTCACTCGATGCGTGTCGTCCAGTTGTTCGAGGTGGAGATAATCGAACGATAGAGATCAAGTCGAGCTGCATCGATCTACGGGTTAACGAGGTTCTTGGGATCAATCCGCGTCTCCAGTAACGGGCCAATCAGTGTGGATAGAGTCCAACCCAGTCGATCTGCGCAACACATCACTGATCGAGTGCAACCTCCTCGATCCGTGTTGTCGGGTTTCAGCCAATCGAGTCTCTTCAACTCAATGCAAGCGGATCGATGATTTGGCAGTCGAACCCTCTTTGGTTTGACTGTGTCCGAATCGAACCGATACAAACTTTGGTATTCTGGGAATTTTCTTTTGAAAATGCTGTAGTTTAGAATTTTTTTAAATTAATCTTGTATTTAAGGGGAAAAAATCTCTTTTAATTTATGAAGAAACTAATAATTAAATACTGGAGTCATGGTTCAAGCATCACCATTTAACAAATTTAACATCCATCCAGGTGGAAAACCATCCCAAACAACAATACTATCCCAAGGAATGTTACAGGGGGGGCAGATAGTGGGCTACTCGATTTGCCTCACAATGGACAAAAGCCCACCCGAGGTCGTTCCTCCGCATCCCATTCTCCTCAACCCTCGAGACCACCATTTGCTGAATTCCATCACAGATGACCTCCATCTTTGTCCTATGACACTCCTTCTTCTCCAACTTTCCGATGAGCCCCATGCAATCACTCTCAGCAATCACCGGCAAGAATCCTCGGTGCGTCACTTCCTTAATTCCCCTCGAAATTGCTTTTGCTTCGGCTTCCTCAGCTTTGCATGTTCCTCTAAGCCTTCATGCGAACGCACAAAGGAATTGACTATTCTAGTCTCCAGTGTAGTCAAATGTGAGATTCTACCTAGAAACAAAAAAGAGGTAAAATCGTAAAGCGTAGAATCAAAGAATCAAAGCGTAAGTTTTTTTACACATACTGAAAATAGCTAAAATGTGTTAAGTATGACATATACTATGTATAATATGAGTGTACATAATTTTGATAAGTAAATAAATACTTGCAATTCATGTCTAAAGTAGAGCAACTCATAACATCTTAACAAAAAGTTCATAAACATAGATCTTAACAATAAACCACCTTCTCCTCTATGCTAATGAATTTGGGAAGTGCCTAGCTGGTAAATTAGATTACTCTATTTGAAGCTATGAATGCATCCAAGTACCTGGTATGTATCTTTTAATCTCAAATGTAACATATTGTTGGTGATTTACCATTAAAATATACATTTTATAATTAATTTCATGAAATAATACCCAATTAGTGAACTAGAAACATAAAAGCGTAAAGCGTTTTGGTGAACTAGAAACGTAAAAGAGTAAGCTTTTAAGTTTTAAACCGCAATCTAGTCCGATTTTATATACTAAATATTTTATATGGAAATGAAAGCGCTTTGTTTACATAGAAGCGTAAATCCATAAGTTTTTTAAATTTTCAAACTCGATTTTGATTGCATTGCCAGTCTCTGACAACGCCCCCAATTCCGAACCCTTCTTTCCCTATCATGCCTGCATTTCTGTTCAACTTGTAGAAGCCTGATGGAGGCTTTCTCCAGACAACCGAATAGGATAATCTAGGTTGCCTTCCCTTTGGTTTCGTTATGTTCGAGATAGTCCTAAACCAAGCAGATAGCCCTTTGCACTATTTCATCTTCCTCCATTTTAACATTGTTGAAACAATGATTGCATCTTTCTCTCCATAAAAACCGGAGTATAGCGTTGAACTTCTGCACCTTCTCCTGAGGGAATTCGTCAAAACCATAACGATCCAGTCCGGGCAGCTGAGCCCCTCTCCTCTCTCAAAACAATCTCTCTCAAGACTCTTCCTCCACAATCTGCTTACCTAGAAACAATCACGCAGAGAATGCTTCGGAGTCTCTTTCTCCCCACGGAATGGGCAATCGGATCCTGCTCTCTTTGATTTTTTCTCCACTCTCCTTCCTACTGGTAAGGCGTTTCAACTAATTCTCCATAAAAAATGCTTTACCTTAGGCTGAATTCTGAATTTCCATAACTTTGCCCAAAATCTCGTTAGCTTGGGACTAGGCTCTTTCCTTCTGTTATCTCCCCCGCCTTAAGGATTCCAGGCCTGCTTTATAACCCGATTTAACATAGTACTCTCCATTAGGAGTATGGATCCATACTTTGTCATCTTGTTTCATAGGGTTACTCAGTGGTATTTTAGCTATAGTATTGAGGTGTGTCTCCGAGAATAATTTTCTCAACATATCAACATCACAGGATCTACTATCCCTATTCAATAGTGATGATACTCTAAGATTAGAATCACTTTCGATCGGAACCTAGTCGGGGTAGCACCCTTCTTTTTTCTGGAATCAACCTATCCTCCGATACCTTGATTTGACTCCCATCTCCTACTCTCCACCTTAACCCTTCCTCCAAGAAGTCTCTTGCCCCTAACAGACTTCTCCACAGAAAGCTAGCAATAGAACCAATCTTAGCTTGCATTATATAAGAGTTTGGAAAGTACCTTGCCTTGAGGGCCTACGCCACCAACAATTTTGGTATGTTCATAATTCTCCAAACCTGCTTTACAAGAATTGCTTTATTAAAGACCTTCAGGTCTCTAAATCCCATCCCCCACTTTCCTTGTCCTAACAAAGTTTACTCCACCTCACCCAATGGATTCTAATTTCCTCTCCTATTTGTCCCCAACCCCCACCAGAAGCAAGAGATTAGACTCTGAAGTTCATCAAGCACTCCATCAGGGATACGGAACACCATCAGATGACAGGTCATTTGCGCTTGCGCCGCCGCTTTAATCAAAATTTCTTTCCTGCTTGTGATAGAGTTCTCACTTTCCAATCTTTGAGCTTACTCCTCACCCTTTCTTTCAAATCGACAAATATAACTTTCTTTGATCTCCCCACCATGGTTGGTAAACCAATATTTATCGTGTTTATCAACCTCCTTAATTCCAAAGATATCAAAATTTTCTTTCCTTATGGTTTCCTCTACATGCTTGCTAAAGGACACCTCAGAATTTACTAGATTGATTTGTTGTCCGAATATTTCTTCATACTCCCTTAGTATCTCTTGTGATTTTCTGACTTTCCTCTGTTGACCGAGCAAACACAATGCTATCGTTAGCAAATAAGAAGTGCAATATTTGGGGCGCTCTTTTACTAAGGCAGAGAACCCTTCAACACATAAGAGAAATAGATAAGGGGACAAAGGGTCCTCTTGTTTTAGTCCCCTCGTAGGAAAAAAGCTAGCTGACCTGTGTCCATTAACCGGAACAGAATAGGACACCGTAGAATAACACATATTCATCAACCCTATCCATCTTTCTCTAAACCCTATTCTCCTCATAATCATCTCCAAAAATCCGGAGTCCACCTTGTCATATGCTTTGAATATGTCCAATTTAACTGCCATGAATCCCTTCTTGTTCATACATCTTTTCATATGGTTAAATCCCTCGGATGCCATAATGATATTGTATGTGATTGCTCGACCTGGTACAAATGCACTTTGTACATCTGAAATAATTTTGGGGAGTATAACCTTCAATCTGTTAGCCAATACTTTCACAATAAGCTTATAGATCATTCTACATAAACTTATCAGCCTATACTCCTTAGATTCCAGTGGTTTATCCACCTTAGGAATTAAGACAATAAGCGTATGCTTTAGCTGAGTAAGTAACTCACCCGTTTCAAGGATTTCAAGAACTGCCCTAGAAAATCTCCTTCAAGACATCCCGATTTCTTTGAAAGAACCCTGCTGGAAACTCATCAGATCTAGGTGCTTTTGTTGGTCACATTGAGAATAATGCCCTCTACACATCTAGCTCTGAAAAGGGTCGTACCAGGTTTTTAATCTCCTTTGTCACTCTCTCATGGACAACTTCTATTACTTCATTTGAAGCAGTTTCTGGTCCTTGGTGAACATATGTTGGAAGTACTTATTCACACACATCATTACATCCTCTTGGCCTCTGTATAATATTCTCTCATCATCCCTTAACCTTCTAATTGTATTTCTTTTCCTTCTCGCCATCGCCTTCGCATAAAAAACTTGGTATTCTTGTCCATGTCTTTCATCCAATCCACTCTAGACCTTTGCTTCCACTTCAACTCCTTCCACAACAAGTCTTTCTTCTCAGCCATAAGAGAATGTCTTTGTGCAATAACATCATCAGTTTAGGAAACGTTCTCAACTTCCTAAACCCTTTCTCTATCTTATTCAAACGTCTTTTCACATTTTCAAACTTATTGGAACTCCAATCTTTTAGCTTCTGTTCATACTCACCTAGGAGCGATAGTGGCTTGATGACCCTTATTTCCCAACATACTTGCTCAATTCTCTGCTTGCTCTCCTCATCTTTAAGCAAAAACTGCTCCACCTTAAAATGTCATCCCCATTTTATCTCTTCCTCATCATATCCCCTAGTATCCAACAAACCCTTACCATCTCCCACACTAAAGGATAATGATCCGACCCTACCCATTCAATGTGAGCCACCCTAAATAGATCAAAAGTTTTCTTCCATTCAAGAGTTGCTACACATATGTGATAGCGTCGTATTTTCACATGTTTGCACCCTTGTTTTTTGACCGTTTTAGCTCGAATTTGTGGTTCCTTGACCTATTTTACGCTAGGTTGTGCTATTTTGTCACATTTTAGGTCCTAGCAGGTAAAGAAAGGAAATGGCATAAAATTCGGCTCGTTTGGAGATCATTTGGCGATTCTGGGAGCAAAATACTGTTGTCCCCTGCAGAATTACGGTCGTGCTTCTGGTGATGCTGTCACCAACGAGGCTCAAGAGTCGAGAGAGGTTGCTCGAGGTCGATGGAGGCATTTCGTAGCAAGGACGCGACGAGGGCAACGCGAGAATAGGTGGGGGA